ATATATTTATAAAAGAATTTACTTTTTAATATATTATTTAATAGAATTATAAGCTTTAAAAAGTGTAAGTTTTAGTGTAAAAGTGGGCGTTTTTCGGAATTACTGCGAACCCACTGTAGGTAGGTATGCGTAACTATTGCAAGTTGACGTGCATTCTACGGAGCACAAAGTATGGAGCACGACAGTAGCTGCACGGCAGTGGATGGCCCTTTTGCATCGGAGCCAGGCAAGCGAAAGCGGAGGAGATGAGAAGTTTGAGACACGTTTGACGGACAACAAGCTGCATTGATGTGGACTTTGAAACTACTACAAGTCAATGCTGGATCTGGACGCCTGATACTTCAATGTTTGCCTCGACTGTTGCTGGATCTCCCCGTGCACGAGTATCGAGTACGTAGTGCAACTAAGCCAGCCACTTGGACTTGGGTTGTAGACACTTCCGCAAAAGCCAACGTTAAAGCATTATCCAGACGTGGCCAGTCCAAATACCCGTCAGGCAACGAACTCCGCATGGCCGGCTGTCCCAGGGCTCGCCTGCGCTGGCCTGTCAAAGCTGGACTGTTCGGCTTGCACATGCTGGTCGTTGTACTGGCTTGTGACGGTGATGGTACGGGGGCAAGCCAAAAGTGGCGGCTGGGGTAGCGTGGACATTCAGGGACTTGCAGACTCGGGACATGTCGCTGCTCCGATGGCGCGCGACTGTGAAGCACCCGGGAGGTCTTGACAGCGTGCGTGATACTTGAAGTAAAGGCAATGCGACTGGGAGTTAGACCCGAGAATCGAACGTCAAAGAAGATATTCAATGTCCTCAAGGGCCTCAAGAAGGACGTCGGGAACCAGTTCACGCCAGTGCCCACATGCACCAACCAGCACCCGACCATCCGCTATTGTCCCGTGCCTCTACCTTGACGCGGTAAGTCGGTGACCAAGCCCTTCCGTTCCACGCTCCGTTCCGGTGAAACATCTCGCCAGCGAGGTCATTCTTCCCTCTCAACTTATTGAGCCGGGGAAGCAGTCGTTAGTACTGGATCAATCTTGTATATTCTTGCGTGACCAGAGCTTCAAGCTGGTCTCCACCAATTCGCTATGCTTCGAAGTCACCAGGCCTCAAAGGCCTTGAGAGCCGTGAGCCAAACACGATCCTTTACCTACCACCCCTCCCGCTGCCCTCAAGGCCTCAGAAAAGATTCCCTCTGGGCAAAGAAATCAAGCGACCGCTGCAACGGCCACGTCTTCTGCTCCGTGAGTGCATTCCCTGGCCATCATGTGCCTCTCCGCCGGCATCGGCTACATTCTTGCAGAACCATTTTGAGCTGACCACGACAACTCTCAACAGTCGCGTTCGCGCCGTGCCAAGTCCTGCCTTCAACGCAGCCGATCAGAGTCATGTTCAGCCATTGGCGAACCAGCCCAAAAATGACATGGATGAGTCGTACGTACAACCCGCAATTGCTGCTACCGGCGCACAATTCCAAGACGAGTGCACTTGGGCTCATAGCGAATTCTTTACATCTGCAGATTAGATGATGTTAAACAAAGTTAAGCCCATTTGTACGTTGACATCCCTCCTCTTCAACTTGCACTTGCTCGTGATATGCCTGAATGCTCTACTAACATGAGTCACTCCGCTTGCATAGTCGGATACCCTGGTGGTGCCATTCTGCCCGTTTTCGATGCCATCTACAACTCAAAACACTTCGATTTCATCTTGCCGACACGAGCAAGGTGCTGGTCATATGGCTGAGGGCTATGCTCGTGCTTCTGGCAAGCCTTGTCGTTCTTGTAACCTCCGGGGCCGGTGCCACTAACGTCATTACCCCCCAGGAGGCCGATGTTGTTGGCATTTCTCGTGCCTGTACGAAGTGGAATGTCAGGTTAAGAACGTTGCCGAGTTCCCGCCGAATCAATGAAGCTTTCGAGATCGCCACATCTGGCCGCCCCGGTCCCGTTTTTGTCGATTTGCCCAAAGACGTCACTGCCGGTATCCTGAGAAAGGCCATCCCGACCGAGACGGCCCTCCCCTCTCTGCCCAGCGCCGCGTCCCGAGCCGCCATGGAGCACAGCCATAAACAGCTGCAAGCTTCTATCAAGAGCTTGTTAACATTTCCAAGCAGCCGGTCATTTATGCAGGCCAGGGTATCATCAAGTCCGAGAACGGCCCCGAGCTTTTGAGGGAACTGTCCGAGAAGTGCTCTATTCCTGTCACTACTACCCTTCACGGTCTAGGTGGCTATTATAGGCTTAACGACATGGCTCTGCATACGCTGGGCATGCACGGTTCTGCTTACGCTAATATGGCTATGCAAGAGGCCGACATGATTATTGCCTTGGGTGGTCGCTTTGATGATCGGGTTACGGGAAATATCGCCAAGTTTGCTCCTGGAGCCAAGGCTGCTGCCGCCCAGAAGCGTGGCGGTATTGTTCACTTTGAGATTATGCCCAAGAATATCAATAAAGTTGTCCAAGCTACCAAGGCTATCGAAGGTGATGTGGCCGCTAGCATAAAGCTTCTTTTGCCTGAGGTCGAGCCTCGATCTATGGAGGATGGCAAGGCCTGGTTTGACAAGATCAACGAGTGGAAGAAGAAATGGCCGCTGTCTCACTACGACAGATCGGAGCGTAATGGTCTCATCAAGCCTCAGACCCTTATTGAGAAGTTGAGCAACTTGGCGGCTGATCTCAAGCATAAGACGTACATTGCTACCGGCGTCGGTCAACATCAGATGTGGACTGCTCAGCAGGTCCGGTGGAGACATCCTCGAACTATGATCACCTCAGGAGGTTTGGGAACAATGGGCTTTGGTTTGCCTGCTGCCATTGGCGCCAAGGTCGCCCAGCCTGAGGCTCTTGTTATTGATATCGACGGTGACGCCTCCTTTGGCATGACTCTGACTGGGCTGGCCACTGCCGCGCAGTTCAATATTGATGGCAAGGTTATCGTCCTGAATAACGAAGAACAAGGTATGGTCACTCAGTGGCAGAATCTCTTCTATGAGGATCGCTACGCCCACACTCACCAGGTCGACCCTGCTTTTGTGAAGCTGGCCGAGTCAATGCACGTTCAGTCTCGCCGTCTGGTTGACCCCGCCGAGACTGTGGATGCCCTCAAGTGGCTGATCAACTCTGAAGGCCCTGCTCGTTTGGAAGTTGTCACTGACAAGAAGCTGCCCGTTCTGCCAATGGTACCTGCTGGCTCTGCCCTACATGAGTTCCTTGTATTCGATGGAGGTGAGTAGCTCTTGAACCCTACTTTTGGCTTTAAGCAAGTTCACTCATACTAATGAACTTTTGTGTTATAGAGAAAGATAAGGAGCGAGGAGAACTGATGCGACAGAGAACTTGTGGTTTGCACGGTCAAGCCGCGCTACTCGGGCTGGATAACGATTCCAACCCGAATGGCTGGAACGTTGCGCACAGGCGTCCCAAGTATATACCCACATTTCTTCTTCTCGTGTCTTTTTTAGTTGGATTATCGCCATATCGACCACTGGCGGAGTTTTCTTCTAGTAAATTTAACATGGTCTTTGGCGCACGTGTTGGGGACATGTTATCCCCCGAAAAACAACAAAGTCGGTGTGCTACGGTCGCGAAGTTGAGCAACCGCCAGACGTATGTAGCAGCATGTGCACGTTCAATATGGAATTATTACAGGAATTGTTTGAGGTCTTGCTTAAAATGGCTCCTTGCTCACGCCCGACGTACGTGTAATTCGAAGTTATCGACAGGTAACAAGTGTTATGGTTCAAGATTCGAATACTACACTAGCATTCCCCTCCGCGTGCCAGCGACGTCTCCCAAAGCATGACACGCACCGAGGTTGATACACGATGTATCCGTCTTTTATGAGGTCCAGACTGCCTCATTATCTTGGGGCGGACAGGGCATCAAGTCACAGCCTACTTCGCAGCCCTCGATTTCGGCACTATGCCGCACGGCTGTCGTAGACCCCGGTGGAACGGAGGAGGCGCCGCGCGGCGAGGGCCGTCCGCGCCTGGGAGGTCGAGGGCTGCAAGTGCCTCTGGGGGGAGATCAGTGGCCGTCCATATGTCGTGGATGATGTCTTTGGTGGTCAAGGATTCGCGGTTCGGTAGGGCGTGATGCGGTTCCCTGGACATGGTAGAAGCTGCATGTGGGATTGTGAACTTTGCCTGAGAGTTGGGCTTCACGGCATATCGTACACTATGGTCCTGTGGATTGGAAGATGGGGGTCGGCTTATAAGTGACTCGTACCCTACCCGGGAAAACCGACTGGAACTATTCCCTAATAAAGTAGCTAGCTCTGCAGAACGGCCATGAATGGAGAGTAAACCATTTGCTGCGTCCCAATCTACATGTCTGTTAGTCGTGTGGTTTTCCACCTCTTGTCTTATGAGGCACCATGAGGCACCAGACAGGCAAGGATAAAGTCTGGTTGGAACAAACCCGGGTCAGAAATGGGTCCAGGCGGCGCCAAGACGGGAGGGATATCCGGTCACACGGCGGCGTCGTCGGCTTCGGTCCTCGGCTTGCTTTACTCAGCTGCGTCGCACAACCACATCTGAACCAAAGGCTACTAGTGTAGAAGGATTTTACGTCATTAAATCGCCTATATGAAATATTCACGATGTGAATTGTCCCATGTCTATTCATACAACTCTCGCCTTGTAAAATGCAACAGTGTATGCGAAAATGAAAAAGGCTGAACCGCTTGCAAGTGACACTGCGCCCTATTAGAAAAGGCCACGTAAAAACAGAAAATTGCGTCCGAGACTTGCAACGACTCAAGACTGCTGCTGCTGTGCTTGTACCTGGGGCGGCTGCTCCTCCAGCTGCATCTGTGACTGCTGTCGCGACTGCAGTCTCGACTCCATCTCAGCCTTCTCGTCTGCCGTCATACTGGCTTCGGCGGATCCCATCTTGATGGTGAGCACGAGGGCCAAGGACGCAATGGCCAAGCCGAGCGCCGTCCAGAACCCAATCTGGTACTGCTCACGGTCGTCGACCTTGTCGTGGCCGCCTCTGCTCTGCACCGTTGCCGACACGGCCAGCTCCCCGATGCCAAGCCAGAATGCAATTCCTAGATACAGCAGACTGTTGATCAAGCCCCCCGCAGCGGCCTGATGTCGGCGCGGCATAGCCGTGGTGATGAAGACGTTGGTGACGTTGAAGGTAATGTCCACGCCGATGGTGCCGGCAATCATGGCCGGGAAAATGTACGCCCAGTAAGTGAAGCTGGTGGACTTGCCGGACGTGGCTGGGTCGGGAATAAGTGCGAACAGAAGAACAGACAGGATGAAGCCCAAGGAGGAGACGATCATGAGGATCTGGTTGGAGATGATGTGCAGAACGAGCCCGCCTGCAATGGCCAACACCATGCCGCCGACCGCGAGGGGCGTGAACCAAGCGGCAGTGAGGATTGGCTTTGTGTGCATAACAGTCTCAATACTAGTAATCAATCAGGTTAGATTATGGCTGTAAAAGGAGGAGTCGGGAACAAAAGCAGTGCTTACTAGAAACTGGCGTAAAACAGATAGAGGCCAAATACACCATAAGACAAGAACAGCGCCGTCATCAACCGCTTCATGTACCTGGCCTTGAACAGATCGGCGGGCAACAAAGGCTGAGACGAAACCCAGCCCTGGACATACACGGCGACAGCAAGGAACAGGATGCCGAGAATGAGCGTGACGTAAATATACGGCGTCTTCCACCCATCCGGGGCGTGGCCGCCATCAGTAAACGCAAAGACGACGAGGACCAGGCCGGGAACAATAGTAAAGACGCCAAGCCAGTCCATCCTAGCATCTGGATTCACATCACCCAAGTGCCTGGGGATGCTAATCGACCCAGAAACCCCAACGACAAGGCCGACAATGGCGCCGATCCAAAAATACCACCGCCAGTCGAGGTACTCGGCCGTCAGGGCACCGACAAAAATACCAAAGTAGAAGCCAATACAGGCAAAGGCCCCGTAGACGGCAAAGACGAAGTTCTTGCGCGGGCCGGGCCGGTATGTCTGGCTGAGGATAGCCAGGCCGGCGGGGAGGAAGGCCGCGGAGCCGATGCCCTGCATGGCCCGGCACACAATAAGCATCGTGGTGTTTTGGCTGAAGCCGCTTACAAGAGACCATGTCAGGAGCCACACGTGCCCGCAGAGGAAGACGACTCTGCCGCCGTACAGGTCGCAGAGGCGGGCAAACGGCAGGAGGAGTGCGGCTGTTGTGAGATTCGTCACTCCGGCGGGCCAAGTCCTCGATGAGGCAGGAATCCCAAGGGCGTCGGCAATGGGTGGCAGCACAATGTTGAAGCCGCCGATGAAGTATTCGCCCGTCATCATGGACATGACAATGGTGAAGACGAAAAACGACTCGGCGAGCCAGTTGGGCAGCACGTCTGGACGCTGGCGGCCCAGACGCTCGATGGTTGCTTGGTCCAAGTACTCGGGGGCTTTGCCATCATGGCCCAACGAGGGTCCCTTCTCTGCCGTATCGTTGGTAACGAACACCGGAGGCATCGAATCCTGCAGAGCCCGCGGTGTGGATGACAACATGGTTGTTGTTGGCGTCGTCATGCTGTGTCCCCGACTGCTCGGCGCCTTGATAGACCAGCGTCTCGTTCGTCAGGAAAGGTTGTGAGATGGCCAATACTGGAACCCTGATCATGCCAGTAAGTGTATCAAAAACAAAGAGACGATTGCTAAAACGACGCCTCCTTCGTCAAGTTTCTTATATACATGTCCGTGGCTCGTGAATCCACAAACGGACCACTAAACATTTGAGTCAGAGTTGTCGATGCGGCAACCCGGACAAACGACAAAAACGGAACCCTCCCAACCACGAGCATTAACAATCAAGGTGTCCAACACAGCAGGAAGGAAGGAACTACGTCTTGGCTGCCCGATCTGGAACCCAAGCTTATCAAGCACTTGGACGTTATAAATCAGTCAACTCGCACCAGACTCGGGCAATGCAGCACGACCTAGTTACGGAGCAGATGAAACCAGAACACAAGACCAACCCAAAAAAAAAAAAAAAAAATCGCAGGCA